TAAATGTGCTTTCTTTTTTTCTTTGTTTTTAAATTTTATTTATTTTTATGTGTATATGTGTATTGCCTGCAGGTAGGTAGGAGCACCCTTGCCGCGCAATGCCCACAGAGGACAGAGTGGCTGTCGGATCCCCTGGGACTGGAGTTACAAACAGTTGTTAGCTGCCATGTGGGTGCTTGGATTCAAACCCTGGTCTTCTGCAAGAACAGCCAGTGTCCTTAAACGCTGAGCGATATCTCAGCCCATAGGTAGGTAGATAGATAGATGATATAGATAGATAGATAGATAGATAGATAGATAGATAGATAGATAGATAGATAGATAGATAGATAGATAGATAGATAGATAGATAGATAGATAGATAGATAGATAGATAGATAGATAGATAGATAGATAGATAGATAGATAGATAGATAGATAGATAGATAGATAGATAGATAGATAGATAGATAGATAGATAGATAGATAGAACAGGATGTGCGATTCCAGTGGTCCTCCCATGTGGCTTGTTCTTTATCACACAGGCTCCCCATAAGCTGTCAGTGTTCTCATAGCATGGCACTGACTTCCCCCAGCTGAGCAAGGGAAGAGGAAGGCCCAGCTTCTTAGAAACGAGTTACTGAATCCAGTCTACACTTAAGGGGAAGGGAATTGGGTTCTACCTCTTGAGAGTGGGCATATCAAAGCATCTGTAGATCTCTGAAAATGAATCACAATTAGGGTTGGAGCTATAACTCAGTGGTAGAGTGCTTGCTGAGCAGGCTTGAGGACCTAGGCTCAATTGAAAATAAGCAACATGGATCCAGTTTCAGAGGAAGGAAGGAAAGGAACGAGGAGGGGAGGGGAAGGAAGGAGGTGGGAGGGAGGAGGGAAAAAGATGCTGAGATGCACCCTCAACATTGCCTTGCATGTATTCAGGATAAATTTTAGCTGTCACCCTTGCTAAAGCCCAGAAGATATTAATTCCAAATTAATCCATCTGGGCTTTTTTCACAGACCTCAGCCAGCTGAAACGTGTTTGGATCAATGACAAACTTCATCAACTCATGTGGCCTCCAGCCCTCACTAATGCGTTAGGCAACAGCAGCCTCAGGTTGGCCTTCACAGCCTCCATTGTCATGACTGACATTGCAGACACTAAAACTAGCCAAGATAATGACGGGGATAAATGGTCCTTTAACCAGAGGCTCCACATGCTCTGGGAACATTACCTCATGCAGGGCAGGCACACACTCCCCCACACCTTTTCAAGTCTTTCTCACACGGGCTTTGTGGAAAGGCCTTCTCCACAGTCTCAGTAACTCTTGCTTCCAGCCTTGTTTGTGGTCCTTGCTGAGAGAACTGCCTCGAGGAAAAGTCTCCTTTCAACATGGTTGTACAACTCTCTGAGGCCAGCCACGGCCCACCCTCCTGTGAGCAGTCCCTCTACTGACCTACCCCTCCCTGTGCTCAATGCAAGGAGCATTGCCAACAGTGTGTTAAAGTGTTTTCAAATACTAAGAATAGGAAACGGGGTTTACATATAATTTTGTAGCTAGTACTATGGCTTACTGAATTGTTGGTCCCCCCCATACTGGTGGGCCAAGGCACAATTTATAGGTTATCTGCATGTACACTCTGTCCCTATAAAATTATTACATACAGACTTGGTTGCTGAATGTTGCTGTTGGTTTTTTATGCTTCCTTTCCTCCCTCCTTCCATTCCACCATCTAAATATCAAATGTGCATTTGCTGTCTCACCAGAACCTAGTTTCTGACTAAGAAGAAGCTAACTTGCTCTCCTCCAAAGAATCTCTAAAACATTTTGAGAACCACAACAGATCAACATGTGTTGGTCAGCCAAACACCTGTTCCTCACTTGTTTTGGAAATAAACCTGCAGGCAGATAAGATTATGTGGCATACAGAAGGATCGGACAAAGAAATGAGACAAAATAGAGCCTCTGTTCAAAGTGATCAGCAACAAAATGGAATAATGTAGGTTCTGAAGTATTTCCATCTGTGCAAGGATGGAAGTGACAGCAGGACCCAGGACAGCCAATGTCTGTGTTTAACTCACCTGTGAACATCTCTTGGCCCAGCTCCCTAGGAAAAGCATTATCATAAACTAGACCAGCAGGGGAGGAGGACTAAGAAAGAGTGTGTCTGCCTGCACAGAGGAGCTGCAGCGTACTCAGGTATAGGGAGGAAGGAGAGAGAGAGCCAGGTACGAAAAGGCAGGTGGTATTGCTGGAGGGCAGGGGAGGGGACACCCATGCAGGTGCCTGTGGCCATTACCAGGAGAGCTAATTTAATCCAGGGCTAAACTGGGAAGGGCTTAGAACCCAGAAGAAAAACATTTAGTCTTCTCCTGTTCCTCAAGGGCTAGGACTGACCCTAAGCCTAGGAATAGTCACTCATCCAGGGTCAGGGTCTCAAGGAAGAGCTTGTGCTTGGGAAAGGGAGCACAGTGGTGGGAGTCCCCAGGAGAAACTGCACAACCTAATGGCATTAAGCCTGCCTTCAAGTCCTTACTCCACTGGCAGTACTGACTCTGACCTTGAGCATATTATAGAATGGCCAGAATTCAGGGTGGCCAGTTGGTGGAGTCAGTGGTGGCTTTAACTTTGAAACATGATTTCATCTCTAAATAAGGCATGTTAGCAAGAGTTATTGTGACAATGGTTTCCAGAGAACCAAGAGAACTAAAACCAATAGTACAATAGTGTGTGCTTATGCATGTGTGTGCACGCACATGCATATGTAAGTGTGCATGATACACTATAAGGAATTGGCACATATAGTTATAAAGCTGTCAAGTCCCATGGTCAGCAGGGTGAGTCAAGCGGCAAGCTAAGATCCAGCAGAGCTGATGGTGCAGTTCTAGATCAAAGACTGGCAGGCTCGAGACCCAGGAAAAGCTGAAAAGGTGATGTAAAGGCATCAGTCAGGAAGAACTCTATCTTGGGGATGGTGAGCCTTTCTGTTCTATTCCAGCCTTCAACTAACTAGACAAGGTCCACCCACAATGGGTGGAACAATCTGCTGTACTCAGTCTGATAATTCAAATGTTAGTCTTGTCCAAAACACCCTCACAGACAAACAAGAATGTTTGACCAAATCACTGGCTACCTCTGCAGCCTAATCCAGCTGACATGTAAAATTAACCATGACACGTTATTTTGAGCATAAACCAAAAGTAATCACATGTTCAGGAGCACTGTGTAAACTGTACAGATGGCAGCCAGGTGGGTATATTGCTACAGTAGGTTTTGTACTTGGCCTGAAATTTCCTCCTGCTCTGTCAAAAGAATGTCCTTGAATCAAGGGAAGGGGCAATCACAAGGGGAAGAGTTAGGGGAGAGGCCACTGGTCCAAAGGCCTGTGGGCACAACAAGGACCAGAACATCTGGGTAACTTTGCACTTGAGAGACAGCTGGAGAGGCTAAAATAGGGACACACACACACACACACACACACACACACACAGAGTCCTATAATAGAATAAATTAGATGAGGATTCAGGATCTTAGAGGCTAGATAGAGATGCAGCTCAGTGGTAGAATGTTTGCCTAGCATGTGAGAGAGGCCCTGGGTTCCATTCCCCCACAGCAGCCTCACTGACCTGGGACTCACTAATTAATCTAGACTGGCTGGCCAGCAATCCCCAGAGATCCTCCTGCCTCTACCTTCCCAGCCTTGGGATTACAAGTTCCCATCACTACGCTCAGCTTTTTTTATTTGGGTTCTGGAGCCTGAACTCAGCCCCTCATGCTAGCACAACAAGCATTTTACTGACTGAGCATCGCCCCCCCAGGCCCATTATTCTCTTTTTTAATGCAGCAGTGCCCAAATCGGGCTAAATTTCACTTGTTGAACTTCAGAAAAGCATCATACCCTGGCCTAAGTACAATTCGTAGACACAGACTGTCTGGTGTGGAACCCAGGTACCATTATGCATACCTCTGTCTTTTCTCATCTGCTGGGTTGGTAAGCAGATAACCAGGCTTGCTAGGATGAAGTGGGATAGGAGAGGGTTTGTAAAGGCCAGTCCTTTGCCTTTTGCCTCTAGGTTTGAATTGGAGCCACAAGAACCATTGACAATGAGGCAGATTTGGGTTCAAAGGAAGACATTTCTCACTACTCCTGAAACTTTTTCTGCAGTGGCCTTCATGAGCAACCTATGAACCACCCAAGATGACCAACCAGTCTTGTTTAAATTTATAGAGCACATGCTCATTTTGCCAAGCTGAATGACTTACTCAGTTTGATAGATGGAGTTCCAGCTGACATCTGTTTCCAAAGTTCAAGCCTATTTTTGAAAGAGTTCTTACAGGGGGCGCTGGAGAGATGGCTCAGAGGTTAAGAGCACTGGTTGCTCTTGCAGAGGACCTGGATTTGGTTCCTAGCACCCACATGGTCGCTAACAACCATCTGTAACTCTAGTTTCAGGGGATCTGATGCCCTCTTCTGACCTCCACGGCACTGCACGACGGGCACACTTACACACATGCAGACAATACACTCATACACATAAAATTAAAATATAAATTAATTTGAGTGTCCTGGCACACACCTTTAATCCCAGCACTTGGGAGGCAGAGGCAGGCGGATCT